AGGACTGACTCCTCATAGAATCTTTTGCCTTTAAATACTGTAGTGTCTAGGAAGTTTGTATCTTTCTCTGATATATTGGCCGTGAATTTAATGGTAGTATGATGCCTGTTGGTTTCTAAGATAAAGAGATCAATCTCTTCTTTTGTTGTATCCCACAAAGAAAATATATCATCGATGTATCTTTTCCACTCAAGTGGTTTTGTTTTGCTCTTGTTGATGATTTCGGTTTCAACTGCTGACATAAAGATATTGGCAAAAGCAACTGCCATTTTAGTGCCCATCACAGTGCCGTGAGTCTGAAGGTAGCCTCTTCCACAAAATTGGAAGGAGTTCTCTTGAAGTATAAGTCTAAGCATTTTCCTTGGCGCATTGGTTGGTATCGGAATTTCTCCTGGATAGAATGTTTCGTATGCTTTGCATACAGTTTCCATACCCTCTTCTTGAGGGATGTTGGTGTACAGGCTGGTAACATCTAGTGATACCATAATTGCGTTGTGTGGGACTTTTGTCTTTTCTACAAAATTGATGAAGTCTTCTGTATCCTTGAGATACGATTTTTGTGATTTTGCTATTGGCTGGAGGATGTAGTCTACAAATGATGATATTCGTTTTGTTGGACCATTACAACCTGATATTATAGGTCTTCCTACAGGTGTAGGTTTGTGAATCTTTGTAAGTGGGTAAAACACTGGTATGCGCGGTGGGTCTGGCGTTTGACATAGCCATTTCTTTGTCATATCATCGACGTAGTTATGACGGTGGAGCTCGTTGATGAGGTCTTGAACTTTGTTGAATGTTTCTCTAACCATAGATGTTTCTAGGGGCAGGTACTTATTTTTATCGTCTAGTTGTACCTGGCTCTCTTCAATCTTATCTTTTTTGTTCATTATGACTGTTGTTGATCCCTTGTCTGCCTTTTTAATGTTTATTTCAGAATTTGTTTTAAGCTCTCTGATAGCTTTATGTTCTTTGTGTGGCAGGTTGTGTTTTGGCTTTGATAATTTAATTTCTGCGCGCTCTGTTTTGACTCCCTCTAGGTAATTTTCTAGAGCGACTGATGGTTGTGCTGGTGGTTCCCAGGGTGATTTAACGTAGAAGGGATGTGGCTCTTTTTCTTGGCCATGAAAAATGTATTTTAGGCGCATTCGCCTTTCAAATTGTTTGAAGTCTTGTAGGAGTTGTCACTTAATGCGAGTTTCTCCCATGGTTGGTGTAGGAATGAATTTTAAACCCTTCGATATTAGATTTATCTGGTCAGTTGACATTTTGTAATCTGAGAGATTTTTAATGTATTTCTGGTTGCTGATTGCGGATTTTTTGTCTTTATCTCTCTTCGTTATTTTTCTTCTGTCATGATGTTTCTTGTTTTTAACCTTGCACTTTTGTGTTTCCCTGCCCTTTGCCATTTCGTCAGAAACAAAACAGGGATAAGATTTATCTTTTTTATTTTGGTTTTCTTCAAACTTTCTCATAAGTGCATCAAATTTCTCGATCCTCTGCATCAGCGTGTTGGCTAATGTACTTACATTCTCACTACGTGCCTTAGGCTTATTGTCTCTGGCCAGAAGTGGCCGGTTTTTGATAAGTTTCTCATTGTCAGTTTTCCTTGCCTTGGCCAGGTTCATTTTCTGCTCTGTTTTTCTTAGTTTGTTCTTGTTGCGTTCTATTTTCCTGTAATGGAAACGTGTGAATGCACCAACCAGCTTTTGTTCAGCATCCTTTCTGATGTGGTTTATGTCCTGCTTGAAGTCTTCGTCCTGCACAATGTTTGCTCGAATGTTGTATCATAATGATTTTGGACTTGTTTTCTTCTCAGTGTGCACCTTTAGCTTCTGGATAGAATCTTCAGATTTTTTGATTTTCTTCTTCAAGGCTATGGTGCTGTTGTCATATCTTGTTCTTTTGCTGGTGACTTTAGGGCTGTACGTTTCTGAGGGGCGTTTGCAGGTTGGCGGTCATTGGCCACTCTCCAGCTCGTCTTCACTGTACAACAGCTCTTCCTCGTTTACGGCATTAATTTCGTTTTTGAGTGCTAGCGACGATGAATTGCTCTAACATGCGCGTGATACGTAAGTTGCAATTTCAAATGTGTGTAAACGGGGTTTGAAACAAGAGGAGGAGTATAGGTGGAAAGATGAAATTTTTTAACAATTGATATACTAGAAGAAAATTTCTATAATGCTCTCTCCCTTTCCATTTTATATTGTGTGGAATCAGCAATAGCCACCTGCAATAACAAAATCTCTTTAAGATTAAGAACTAATGTATTCGAAAATATCAAGCAAAAGGTACCGATTTGCGTAACAAGATTGTTATAGCAAGACTTGGAAGGTGAGACTTTATCCCCTTCTAATACAATCATTGGGAAATTATAAAGCTAAATACGTTACAAGTTTCCGTCTATTTTAAAAGTAAACTTTTAAAAAGCGAATGCTCTGAGAAAAAGTGGTGAACCATGCATAAGGGCCTTTTGGCTAAAAACTACCCTAGCGACTTTTAAAATTTTGCTAGCAATCGAGGTTATGGGAGTTCAGGAACAATAATGGTGTAATACAGAGCCGGAATGGGTAATAGGTGATCGGAAGATTATGATTTGAAAACATTGAAATTTTTGGGAAAGATACATGATTTCAAAACGTAGAGAAAATGGAAGGACAAGGAGTTTGACCTCACGATATATACGATAAGGCCAAAAAGATGTTGTAAGTAACAGCCTGCGAACCAAGTAGCTTACATATCAAAAAAACACAGATCCGAAAACAGTATGTTGCTACAGATGTTTAATGAAAATTACAGGGCAAGGGTTTCGCTATTGGTACATAAATACGCGTGGAAAGAAAAAAAGTGACCAAAACTCAGAGTAAAGAACCAAAAAAAAAAATAATAAGGTTAGAAGACATAGCATACAAAATTACAAGCACATAGTTTAGAGTACAACAGTAGAGGTGTAGAGGCGTAGAAATGTAGACACCTACAGGCGTAGAAACGTAGAGGCGTAGAAGGGTATAAAATTTTAATAAAAAGTAGATTAGTGTAAAGAAGTAATTTAAAAGAAANCAAAACTACAAGCGCATAGTTTAGAGTACAACGGTAGAGGCGTAGAGGCATAGAAACGTAGACGCGTACAAGCGTAGAAACATAGAGGCATAGAAACGTGGAGGCATACAGGCGTAGAAACATAGAGGCATAGAAACGTAGAAACATCAAGGCATAGAGCCGTAGAAGGGTATAAAATTTTAATAAAAAGTAGATTAGTGTAAAGAAGTAATTTAAAAGAAAAATGTAGACACAATAGCAGTAAGGATATATTATAGTAGGAAGAATAAGGGAAGAAAAATTTAAATTTTGACTAAATATATATTAGGAAAAGCAAATTAACCAAAAAAGTATAAATAGATTGAACTGTAAATTTCAAAGGATGGATGAGATAAATCTCAAAATGGGATTAAATTGTCCGAAAAATAGCAGCACATTATGTGGCAGCATTACGAGGAAAAAATCATACAAGAAAGTGAGAAAGTTGTCGAGAACCCGTGTCATTTTGTCATTTTGTACATTGTGGAATAAATTGGCAATAATAATACATTGGTTGCCAAGGCAATGCAAACGCGCATTAGGAAAAAAAAAGAGGGAAAATTAAAAATAGGCCAAGAACATGCCATAGGCGTATAGGCGTAGAACTCTACAAAAACTTCTACGCCAAATAGTGTGTCCAAATCTAGCCAACACTTGGAGTTAGAACTCCCCCTTCCACAACCTTGTTCCAAAGGCATATCTGCTTGTGGTTGTTGAGTCAACTAGGAAATTTTCTCTCTCATTTATCTAAAAACAAAATACTGTAGAACTTTATTTAAGTTTCAGGGGGATTTGAAGACTGTTGTGGTAATTAAGGGCACTCTAAATAAATAAACAAACATTGTAAATTTAACATAAACTATTAATTAAGAGTCACGATAATTGGTGGGAGACTGACCAGTTGGCTATTTACACAATGAAGTTGAACTCAGGACTTCCAAGAAGAAATCGGGTGGACAATTTGAATCTGGGACCTCCAGATTTCAGATCAAGTACCCTAAACTACTTGGCCACCCTGCCTACCTAATTTTTTTCTAAATTTTCAGAAGTAGCATTGAAAAGAATGCATGACAGAACATTTACAGTACTTTCCAGTTAAAGCTGAAACACTGCATAAAGATCTTATTTACATGTAAATGACACTCAATTATTGGATGTTATATTGAGGAGCTTTTAAAGCCTTCATAACATGGCAACCTTTTAGAATTTATTACATGCTTGTTGAACATACACGTAGGATGCAAATTAACTGTTTAATGTATATGTATGGATTAATTTCTGGGATACTATTAACACTTGCAGTAACATATTTTTTTACCAGAGATGTTTGCCAGAAAGAATTAGTAAAGGTTCAGATGGAACTGGATCAACAAAAGAAAACTCAAGGTATACAGTTCGAAGGTGGCCTTTCTTATAACTCTGAGTAAAATGGCAAACACATTTTCTTCCTCTAATTACTTTTGTTTGCTACTGTCAACCATCATAAGTGACATTTGTACTGTTCAAACCTAATAAACAGTCAACAGTCAGGGAGTGAATACTTAAGGACGTTCGCGCTAATTGTTTTTGCGCATCGTTACTGAAATTCACACACCACATCATGCATCTAGTGCACACTAAGTAATAAAGTGAACAGTGATAGGGCAGATGGCCATTGCTATAGCTTTGCCTGGATTTTAATGATCTTGGACATTCGGTGACTCTTGATGGATTGTTTTCTCTACCGATTTTCTACATTTAGCGGAAAAAATGAAGAAAATCTATCGATTAGAAGTTTGAATTTTTTACAAAATGCACCATCAAATTCTGTTCTTTTTAGCTCTTTGTTTATCTGTGCGGCAGTTCCAAATGCCTCTTGAAGGGTTAAGTTTGTGAAAACATTGGCAACATTTGGACCCACTGCTACAAAATATAATTAAGATCATTTGCCTCCATTGACTCACCTTCCATACTTGTAACTATAAACCCCTGTAGACCATCCTGAATTATGTGCGCCAATTTTTCGAAATCAGGGTAGTTTTCCACATGCTTTATCTCTGAAACGAAGTTGGTGACCCCCAATTTTTTTTTTTTTTTTT